ACTCGAACCATCCTGTTATGGAGGAAGGTTGAGGCGCCGGTCTTGGTGCAGACGAGTGAGTGGGCTCGGCTCAAGCGGTCCTTGCATGGTAACAATGCACCTGCACCACAAAGTTTGCCTGTGTTGCAGTCTGCTCGATCGTGACTCCCCAGTACACGACCGATTGACTCTCGATATAGATCAGGCAGCATTCTTTCATCTGCTGACAACCCTTGCGTTGTCAACCACGACAAAACTCCCTTGCCTTTCGCTTCCTCCAAGCGGATCAACGCCCTCTTCTTTGGCGTTTCCTCGCCTACTACTTTCTGCAAGTCTGTCTCCACCATGTGGCGCACTGCTGCATGAAGAGGTTTCGAAAGGAGAGCTTGGGCTCAAAGACTGTTGGTATTGTTGACCAAATTCATTTCGGCTGAAGGTAGCTGGTGGTTGATGTTCTACGTCAGAGTTTCCATCTTCACGGGGTTTTCCCGCCTTCCCTGCTTCCAACAAGTAAACTCCTTTGAGGGCGGGGGTTAACTCATCACTTGTGGCAAGTTTAGCCCATGACTGCCCAACAGCTTTTTCAAGCTTGTCTTTGGTGATTATTTCCTCTAGCTTCTTCAGCGAGTCAATCAGAGCCAACCCTGTCGGTAGCTGGGCAAGCCGGGGTAGACATTGCTCAACTGTGTATCCTGTGTGTGTGTGTGTGTGTGTGTGTGTGTGTTTTTATTTCATTAGTGTGTGTGTGAATGTTTCTCCACCTGCACCATTGCGCGGTGCCCAACCTGCACTATATCGGGTATCTGCCTCAATAGTGCAGATCCTGCACTATTGAGGGCGCCGTTTGTATCGGGCGGTTGCACTATTCAAAGTGCACTATAGGGGGCCCACTACTGTACCACATTTCGTTGCTGCAGCACAAGCAGCGAAGCACCAAGAACTAATCGTGCCCTCGAGAATATATACTTGAAACAACAACCCATGAGAATATACACCAGAAAAAACTCTCGGGAGAAAAACCTACGACACCTCGATTGAACACAAAACTTAGTAATTGCACTGCTGTGCAAGACCCGGCGAATGCTCAGCCCAACATGAAGAAAGCACTCAAGCAATTTATAGAACTGACACGAAACAATCAACAAACAAAAACAAATTCTAGGACCTGAGGATATTCAACACAAGATCTTCTACAAACGATAACAGGAAAAACAGAGGTAAAAGCATACCACTATTAAACAAACACCACAACAAGATCCCCGGCTACTCCCCGTCTCTCGCGCGCGCTCTCAAAGATTCTTCACATGGAAGGCGAACCGATAGTCTTCGGAAATGATTTGGCACCAAGCCACTCGCATCCGCGTGCCCCCCCTGGACGGGAGAGACAAGCGATTGGAGGGGGACGCCTCGCAAGCCAAGCCAAGGACGATGCATCCGTACACCGACTGCAGCTATACAACGGAGGTCGGACTGTCTCTACAAATATGTTGACCAATCAGAAGACTGCACACACGGGCGCCAGCAACAAACGCTCGCATATGCATACCAAAATCACGGGCAGCCACGTCAGCCAGCCAGCTAGTTTGGCGCCGTGCTTGGCCCCATGCCTACTTCCATCGTCTTTGGAGGACGCCTCGATTTCTGGCATGCCCGAGCTCACCCTCAAGGGACAAATATCTGGCCTCGGTGTTGCTGCAATCGAACCAATACAACTCCAGGGAGCGAAGAGCACCATTTAGATGAGCGAGAGGCGTGGTCGCTTTCCATAAATATCGGGACGTCAGCGTATCGCCGAGAACGAGGTCGTCATGCTCCTGCCTGTCGCTTGTCAACAAATCATGATCGTAGCCCCCCCTCCCGCCGCGATGGTGTTGCAATACTTCCTGCCTATTGGCCCCAGGATCTCTCCCCCCCACTCCCGCCGCTGTCCACAGCCTCCTTGAACTCTCCTGGGGAGCTGCCACACTCGACATCTGTGGCGCTTCCCTCGTGCTCCGCTTTTTCCTCCTTGTCTGCGTTGGCATCTAGCTCTGACTCCTGTCAAGTGAACAACAATTTTCGCGCACATTCAATTAGAACACCACCCACAGGCGAATCAATTTGTGAAAAAAAAAAAAAGCCAAGATGAGCACGAAAAGGAATGAAACGACCGAGGCGGAAGAGACACTTTACGCACTAAAGATGGCCAAGACGCGCTTGCGCGTTCCACGAACAACTGATCAAAGCGGGGACTGCTTGTCGCCGTCCGCTGAAAAAAACAAAGAGCGCAGCTGAGATGTCTTGTTGTTTGACGACGTACATCCCAACACAACAAACAGCACAAACAGCAAGAAACAAAGCGTAAAAAATTGTTGAACGGTCGGGGAACTGTCTAGTAACTAGAGTTGTGAATCGGAACGATGTACACGATATATATCGTCCGATATATATCGATATCGGTATCGAAAATTCGTGCCGATGTTCCGACCGATGTTTTCTTAGGGGCTCCGTGAATCAAATTTAGGGTATGCGCAGCAGTACGGAGCCCCTGTACGCCACACACACACAGCACAGCAGCGCAGAAACAGCAGACAACAGCACCATGTCCAGAACCAACCGGGAAGTAGACACAGGGAGAGACCGAAGGAGGGTACTGCTGAGGATACGCGACAATACATCAATCTTAATCTTTTTTTTTTTTTTCTACATTCCGTGCGATGTTTGCAGCTGAAGTCAAGCCCTTTTTGATGCCGCATTTGGGCCCATTTTGACGGGAAATGAAAGGAAAATGCACCAAATTTTCTGCCTCCGGCGGCGCCTCCGGCGAGGCCCCCTCACCAGCCGGGGGGGGCCGATGGGGGGGCTCGCTTCGCTCGCCCCCATCACGGCTCGCTGCGCTCGCCCGATATTTTCTCCGATATATCGCCTACGGCGATATATCGGAGAAAATATCGTTATATCGGCTGCTGCGCAGCCGATGTAAAATATATCGTTTTTTCGTACCGATTCACAACTCTACTAGTAACGTGTTTCAAGCGAAACGCCCACATGATTGGATCTTATTTTAGGTAAGTGGAAACTCCACGGACTTGATTGACTTCACCATGAGATTCGAGATGCAACAAGCGAGGCAGGCCAAAACAATGGCATCAGGATCGAAGCGAGGTGGACAACACCAGCCCCGGCAACGACAGCAAGTTAAGCTTTGCGGAACCAACCATGGTAGCTTCCATCGACACAAGACACGGTGAATCCCCAACTCGACACAAAAAAAAACACAATTGCCCTATCATCATCATCATCATCATGACGTGGCGGATCCCCGAGCTACAAACTCGGTGCGGAGGATGTCGACGGAGAAGCTGACGTTCTCAGAGCACAAAATTGTGGCACGTTGGAACGACACTGAAAAGGCAACATGAACGACAATAACAATAACACTAGCAACAATTACAACTACAACAGCAGCTACCGGCGCACCACCAGCGCTTGCTTGAGAGCTCTCCTGGCGTAGATCGTCACCGCCACGATCGCCAGGACGGCGGCAACGGCGCCAACGATCAGAGTGGCCATCCTGATTATGCACTCCGTTCTGTCAGCCTCCCCAGAGTTCATCGCCTCCTGAGGTATCCGAGAACGTGCGTGCAGAGGGTTGCTGTTACAGGATCAAATGATGGTGGAAAAGGTCGGCTGTTGGGCGTCTCCGCATCCAATGATGACGCCAACAACAGGGGGGGGGGGGGGGGGGGGGG